GCAATTGCTTTGATATTACATATATAGGTACTACATGTGGACCTCTCTCAGATTTGTTCATTTTGTAATGATATCTTTAATTCTCTAATTTTGGTGAATATTTTTGTAATTTTTGGTAAAAAGTGATATTTTCGACTTCTTGTTGAAAACCGCAAGTCCAATTGCTTTGATATTACATATATAGGTACTACATGTGGACCTCTCTCAGATTTGTTCATTTTGTAATGATATCTTTAATTCTCTAATTTGGTGAATATTTTTGTAATTTTGGTAAAAAAGTGATATTTTCGACTTCTTGTTGAAAACCGCAAGTCCAATTGCTTTGATATTACATATATAGGTACTACATGTTGACCTCTCTCAGATTTGTTCATTTTGTAATGATATCTTCAATTCTCTAATTTTGGTGAATATTTTTGTAATTTTTGGTAAAAAGTGATATTTTCGACTTCTTGTTGAAAACCGCAAGTCCAATTGCTTTGATATTACATATATAGGTACTACATGTGGACCTCTCTCAGATTTGTTCATTTTGTAATGATATCTTTAATTCTCTAATTTTGGTGAATATTTTTGTAATTTTTGGTAAAAAGTGATATTTTCGACTTCTTGTTGAAAACCGCAAGTCCAATTGCTTTGATATTACATATATAGGTACTACATGTGGACCTCTCTCAGATTTGTTCATTTCATAATGATATCTTTAATTCTCTAATTTTGATGAATATTTTTGTAATTTTTGGTAAAAAGTGATATTTTCGACTTCTTGTTGAAAACCGCAAGTCCAATTGCTTTGATATATTATACATATAGGTACTACATGTGGACCTTTCTCAGATTTGTTCATTTTCTAATGATATCTTCTGTTCTTTAATTGCCATGTGCATTGCTAACAGCGGAGCTATCTCAGCCGACAGGCTGCTTGTTCATTTTGTGTGATAAGGCTGTTATATTCTGGAAGAGTTGAGGCTTCCTCAGTTTGCTTTGAGATAAAATAATAAGGCTGTTTTTAATCATCTGTCCTTTAAATAACAATTAAATGGACTAACTGTTTTGTGGTTTCTGTTGTAAGGTATTTTCTGATGGAAGTTATGTTCCTGGATTTGAAAGTATGCAGATTTGCACACATTACCAACACGGCTTTGCATTTACATTAGTTTATGATTACACACAGATGTTGCAGGAATAAAAATACACCCCTCTATCTGCATGGATAGGAGGTTTAACTTGGCATGATTGGGTTTTGGATCAAAAGAAAAAAAAAAGTGTAATTTAAAAAAAAAAGCATCCTCACAATTGGGCAACATTTAAGTTCATATCATCAGACTTAAATACTAGTCCATGACATCACTGATGATATAAATCGTCAGGTGGCAACATCATAATACCGGTACTTGAAAGTTTATTATCCATTTTTGTCTCGACAGATTCTTCTTGGACCCAATGCAGCATATTCCGGAAGCCCAGCCATGCCAGCTGGTTTAGCTCCAGCTCCTATGGCGCCGCAACCACGATAGTATAGTATAAATGGATGCCTATTTGCAGTGTATTTTATGTTTACAAGGAGCTTTATTATAAGTTCATTTAAACAATTCATATACTCTTTCATAAATATGTCAAAAATTTGACTTATTTCATAAACATATTGGTAAAGTGCTCCATTTCTGACTTGCATCTGGAGGACTGTACGGACACAATAACATTTCTGTGTTTTTATCAGTATGGTCTGTTATATTTGCTGTCAATCATTATAACTTTATTATCATCCCAAACATTTTTTACTACAACGAAAATAAACATTACAGTATACAATGTATACCTGAGTGATCTTTTTGTTAGCTCCGCTGTCGACTTTGTCGAGCGGAGCTTATCATATGAGTGATTGTCCATCGTCGTCCGTCGTCGTCGTCCGTGTCAATGTTTTACTTTTTCGACTTCTTCTTGAAAACTACAAGCCTGAATGCTTTGATACTTGGTGTATATGTACCTTGGGTAGACCTCTCTTAGGTTTGTTCATTTCATGTTGATATCTTCAATTCTCTAATTTTGGTGAATATTTTTGTCATTTTTGGTAAAAAGTGATATTTTCGACTTCTTGTTAAAAACCGCAAGTCCAATTGATTTGATACTACATATATAGGTACTACATGTAGACCTCTCTCAGATTTGTTCATTTTGTGATGATATTTTCAATTCTCTAATTTTGGTAAATATTTTTGGTAAAAAGTGATATTTTCGACTTCTTGTTAAAAACCAATAGTTCAATTGCTTTGATATTACATATATAGATACTACATGTAGACCTTTCTCAGATTTGTTCATTTTGTGATGATATCTTCAGTTCTCTAATTTTGGTGAATATTTTTGTCATTTTTGGTAAAAAGTGATATTTTTGACTTCTTGTTGAAAACTGCAAGTCCGATTGCTTTGATATTACATATATAGGTACTACATGTGGACCTCTCTCAGATTTGTTTGTTTTGTGATGATATCTTTAATTCTCTATTTATTTTGGTGAATATTTTTGTAATTTTTGGTAAAAAGTGATATTTTCGACTTCTTGTTAAAAACTGTAAGTCCGATTGCTTTGATACTATTCATATTGTTCATTTTCTAATGATGTCTTCAGTTCTTTAATTGAAATGTGCATTGCTAACAGCGGAGCTATCTCAGCCGATAGGCTGCTTGTTTTAATTTTGAACCAAATTGACACAATTTCCCAATCATGTCTTGATCCAATTTTTATAAATAGTGAAAGGTGACACAAATTGACCAAACATTCCATCGATACCCAGTAAGTGAAAGCTGCCAGGACCGATTAATTTCAATGTTGATAGAAGGTAATTTTATTCTTTGCTAATACTTTCAAGCACTTTAAGATGAATTTTGCAAGTTATGAAGATTAATTTCATTTTGATTTTTCATAAAATGATGGTGGATCTTAGGCATTGTCTTGTGTGGTAGCCAGATTTGCGAGAAGGTACCAAAGATTGTAATTGTTTACTAACTTTGAATAGCATGACAGCAAGGACTGCACGAACTTAGAGCCCCCCCCCCCCCCAATTTTAATACTTTCACAGAACATATCGTCAATGCTTTCGCATCGGGACTCTACACTTTAAATGTTAACTTTTTCACCCCCAGACTTTTTCGGCCTAATTTGTCTGCATTTTTTTCTTGTATCCTTCAATATTCCTTGAAATGAACCCCAATTTTTACTCAGAACATTTGGCTATTTTAGTCCCAATCTTCTGAAGGAAAGGTCAAACTGTTATCATTATTGTCTCAAGCGGTATTCAGTATTAAAATCTGGATCCTCTACTGTTTCATCATTGCTAACATAGTCAAGTCTCAACCCCTAAGGGGTAAAAAAATATATTTACAAATTACTTTTACTGTAAATGCATTAATTATTCACTGGTTAAATTAAGTAAAATCTGTTAAATTTAATCCACATGAACGTTTAAAATAACAATAGAACTCATTGTTTCTGTGCCAAGTTCATGAATTTAAAACCCAGTGAAATTGCCCAAAACATCAAAATAGTGAGAATGAATGGTTTTACAGTAGTTAGTATTACTCGCTGTCATAGTTGAGGGCTTGCACTCTTTAATTTCACAAAATACTGGACACCATTTATAGGAAAATGAGTTTATTTCAAGATTTACAAATGAATTTATAGTAGAGTCTGATAAATTAAAACGCCTAAAAATTACAAATAAATACAAAGTTATTTTTAAAAGCAAAATCGCAATTGAATGTTAACAAATAAAAAATAGACAGCTGAGAGAAAAAGCACCATGGAACTTGTTTTTGGCCCACAAATAGTTAAATTCTCTTCTATCATCTCATCAATTGTTCCCTTGTTGTAACCAAAGAATAGTGGACGCAATGACGAGAGACCATGGAATTACCTGAGGGGCAAAATCAAGTCACATGGCGGCCATTTTGTGTCTATTTTTTAATGTCAAGATAATTTACCCATAGTACCTTTCAGGGTGTGATTGGACGGAAGCAGTAATGTACAAAAGGACACACTGTATGAGCACATGATTGAAATTAAACCAATCGTTTCCGTTATGTGTGATATTTCTTGAAGTGATTCAGACCACTCTATTCATTTTATTGCACATTAGTTCAATGTACAATTACAGCACTAATATAGGCTCTAGTTTCATCCTCCAAATCCAGTATGTTTCTTGCTGTCTTTCACTCTGCCACTACCGCCTCTCAGTTCTTCAAATTTTTTGTGGCTGAGATGACTCTCTGCTGTTGTTTCTGCCAACTACAAGGAACAAAACATTAATTATTAAACTGAAGTTTACAAAAGTTATACAATATTGTCAATGGGCATATTGCAATCACCATAGGCAATGCGAAATAGATAGAAATCATACAGGAGATCACAGCAAAAAAAAAAGACAACAGCATCGAATTCAGACATACTAGCATGATCAATAAAAATGTAACTTACCACAACCATAGACACATCTGTCATTTAAGTAAGCACAAATATGGTAGTGCTACCCAATGTATAAAAAACCTCACAAATACAGAATAAAATGCAATTCAGAAATGTCTGGGTAAATCAATCAACAAACAAACATACATACATACATACCATGTCTAAAAGCACTTCTATTTTTAATTTAAGGAGATTGTTTTCTTCTGAAAGTGCCTGATTCTGTTTCTTTATTTTGTTGAATTCTCTTTGATCTGCACCACCAGGTGAACCATCTGTAAAATGAAATGTATAAAGTTTATGCAGTCCTTGTATATGATGGTATTAAAAAGAATGTTTTCATGTTGCATTACTAACACTGAGATTTCCTTCTTTTTCTTAATAGCCAATTCAATATCCCTCAATGATTTTGTATGGAATACCGTACACCTAATAATGTAATTCAAGAATGGTCATGGCTTACACACTTTTGGGGCAGTAATTTGCTAAAACTTCCTAAAAAAAAAACACTTTGGGTTCCTGAACTAGTTTTTGAACTTTGTATTTTACCTATTCTCTAATCATATATGGCCACCAAAGTCAGGCTTGAAGATACGAGAAAGTCGCAAAAGCATTGTTTCCATGGAAACAAGATCAGGTTCCCCTGATTTTGAATGCTCTTTTATCAAGTATTTGGAATGCTTTTATTTGTATACAAATACCAATATCATACGAATTACATGAAGAACATAAAACACTTTCCCTGGGTATACCAAAATTGGTATCTAACTGTAAGGCCGATTGGCTCCTGAGTTGAAATGACAATTTTGTGTTTTTCAACTTGGATCTTATTTAGTTTGAAGCAGTTTTCAAGATGGCGACCCCCATATAGTAAATATCGCATTTGTTGTATTATCACTTGTACAACAGCTAACTGTGTATGTGTAGATTGGAATGAATATGTAGAAATTTTTGGAAATATCTGAGAAACACTCACACATGCTCTGGATTTTCATCATGTCTGAACAATTGTGTTTTATTGTTCATGCTTTTTAATCATGGTCTGACACTTGAGAATTAACAAGGATCTTTTTTTGAATATTAAAATGTATCATCAGATCTTTTGAGTGCAATAGTGCAACTTTAACACATACCTTCCACCCAGGTTCCATTTTCAAACACTAGTTTATGGTTACCAAGGTTGACAGCTGCTGGTCCAAACTCCATACCGTACTCCGCCTCCCTAACAGCATGGTCTAGTTTATTCAAATTATTCAACGAAGCAGATCTCCGCATTGGAGTCTTCTTGGGCGAGAACTTATCCCCAAACAACGGCATATTCTGAATAGAAATAAATAACTGAAAGTTATATATACAATTTAACTGCAAAAACGCTGTACGGAATAGGAGGCATTCTGAGAGTGGCTGCTTCAGCAACCATTAAGAAAATAAATGCAATTGCACATTTATACTTCATAGAGATTTTTTTGACTTAAAAATTATTATAAAATATGTGGGCAATGTCAAATTAAAGCAGTTTTGTTCATAATTATGCCCATTTGTAAGAGCGAGAATTTTATTATCAATAAAATAGGTTGCTATGGTTACAGAAATTCAGTGTTCTTCACAAGACTAAGGTTTTGTTGTGCCACCCACCAACTTCCCTTTAGCGTCTTTAGATATGCAAATAAGAAAACAAATGATTGTGTTATGCTAATTGTATGCAAATAATGCCACCTATCTCACATTTCAGTTTTGTGGAGAACACTGTAATTACTTTTGTACATGCCACCCTAATAAATTACACTTTTTCAACAGTGAAACACAAGAACTAACCAGTGCAATGCTTGCTAGTCCTTGCAGCTCAGATGTTTTTATATCTCTTTGCGATGTCAAATTGAGTCAAAGCACACATTATACAATGCAGGAATTGATACGCCAAAAAAAAAACACTTTTCGAAAAACAAGCTGCCCTCTGATTGGTCTGACTGTTTGGTATTGGGGTTTGATAGCCAATTAGGTACACTGTTATAAGTAGCTTCGTATTGACTTGAACAGACCCAATATGGTTTACTCTGTCCTAGAGATTGCCTGTCACGTATTATTATAAGAATCAATTTAACATGCAAAATATGTTGCATATTGCATTACATGGTTACTTACAGACCACTTGTACACACTTGGTAACAATGGTAACCATATTCAATTACTGGGTTTAAATGTCACTGTAACAAGCTTGTGTTTTTTGCATTGATGATGACAAAATATTAAATTACAACCCAGCATTGACTCTCAAAACATCAAAACAGTAATTTTTAAAAACTCGGTTTACATACTAGTATTTTCCTTTTTACCAGCTTGTTTACCTAAATCCCAGATATTATATACTTAGATAAGCTGCAATAATATTTGTACTTTCAAACAAATCATTTAATATTAAAAATTGCCAGTCTTCAGCATCAAATTTAATTTTATTTTTGTCACATAATGACTATGGGAGTAATTTCAAACGTGATCATTGTTTAAAACAAATTTCATCACCCACAGAAAGGTAAATTAAACATCAGAATACATATTGCATAAAGTATGTGTTACGGTAACATATTTCAAGTTGCTACATGAATCTGACAAATTTTGTGATTTTACATAATCTTCACCAGATTTGTGAACTTGCTAAACACGCTGCTGATAAATGGCTAAAACAAAGTGGTATTACCAGTAGCAGCCATGGCTGTAACTATTTTATCCTTAACAGTAGCCAATGCTGATGCAGACTTGATTTTGTTCATCATTTAACGGAACTCACGCAAATGCAGACTTATTAAAATCAAATCCAGAGCGTTAGATAAAAAATAGAGGTGATTATAAAAACATATAATTTCATATTATCATGAGAAATGATCATGGTATAATGTTGATTACCTTCAATGAACACAGATATTCTTATTACATTATTAATACTTTGTTACACATGGAACCAACAAGTAAAAAACCTTGGTGATAATAACGGTGCAGAAACAGGTGATACATACACACTACCGGGTAATGTTATTACTCTAGTGATACTACAATGTGAGTGGAGTGTACATGTATGCAGGCAGTGACAGTTTGAAAAACACATGTAAGAATGTATTAAACTGTCTACCAATTAACAAGGAAACAGAAAACATTTACCTAAATTTGAATATTAAAATGCATAAATTTGCATATTTATCACCTAATTTGCAATGATCAATGAAATCTAAAATTTGTTTTTGCTCACTGAAAAATGAGATGTATCGTTGAAACCATAATAAGCCATAGGTGTTGACTGACATTCCATTACAGTATTGATTCAGAACGCAGTCACTGACTGGTTAATCTCTGTATGAGTGGAAAACGCCGTAATGTTCTATTTCACTTTTAAAAGTTAAACGATAGTTGTGTTCCAGTTTTTTGTTCGTGCTCAACTGTGGGTCAGTTCTACAAGTTTATGTTTTTATCAGTTCGTTGAAGAATTTCGTTCGCAAATAAATGCAGTTCATGTTATCAATTGATTCGTGAGAGTTCAAGTTCAAGTTCCGCTGAAATCCTACTCAAGTTGGAATGTGGCCAACTGAACCCAACCACAAGATGAAAGGTTATAAAAATTGCTTTATTGTGCCCTGTGGAAAGCTCTCATATCAAGAAGACAATATCAAAAAAAAAGACTGGCACTACGACAAGCTGCAAATGAATCCCAGGAAAACACTGCACACCAAGTATGTGCTTGCCTTGGGAAACACAAATACATTAAAATCTGATGAAACAGAGTGTAAAAGCTTACTAATATGCTGAAGCAATGAGTGGAGTTCAAAAGTTCAATTAAGTTTATGTGATCAGAGCGAAATAATTTTGCGACTATTCACACAGCAACAAAACTCTCCACAATTCGAAACCTTTTACCCACCAACACGTGACAGTGATCGTGAAATAAAAACAAGTTTTTTCTACAGTACCAAGCATGTAACTCTTCCTGTGTCCATAGTGCTCGTAACTTAGTACTCAGCCTGTGTGGGTAAATTAGTATGTTGGAGTATACATAATCTATAGAACCACTTCACAATGTGTATTGTGGGTGTTGCCCAGTAAACCATTGTACTTAGCTTTATTCACAACCACTATTATTCTAACAATGTAAACAAAGCGAAAGGTACATGTAAATTCATATCTGTACATGTATGAATATACTTCAGGTTATGTGTCAACTATCAAAATATTCATTATTTGTTTTTTCAGAGTGATTCTTTTTTCTTGAGCAAAATATGTTCTCACTAGTATTTTGTAGTCAAAAAAAACTAAATTAAATTTAAAATTTGCATTTTCTGCATTTTCAGTTTCTAAAGGTGAAGAAAAGTGAATAAAATTGTTATTTTTCAAACATATGAGAGTTTAAAACCCAAAAAGTGCAGTCAAATAAAAAAAAATTACAGAAAGCCATTGTTTACCTCAATCTGAGGCGCTCTCAGTGTTGATGTAACAATGAAACACCAATTCTTTGTCACGTATTGTAATCAATTAGTTTGTATTATTGTACTCCACATACTGTAAAATGACTAATATTCACTAAATTTAAATTTCGCTGATTTAGCATTTCAGGCATATTCAGTGGATTTTAAATTCACGGTTTTATCATTTAGATAATGTGTTCTATGCTCAGTTTTACATATTCACTGGGTTTTAATTTTGCGCATTTTCCAGTCAGCGAAATAAGCAAAAATAAAACCCAGTGAATAATTAACCCTTTTACAGTAGTCAACTTTTAAGATAATAGAAGTATTGAAAGGTGAAGAAAAGTGAGTAAAATTTTTATTTTTCAAACACATGAGAGATTCAAAGCTATTGTTTACCTAAATCTGAGGCGCCCTCAGTGTTGATGTAACAATGAAACACCAATTCTTTGTCACGTATTGTAATCAATTACATGTAGTTTGAATATTGTACTCGCATACTGAACTTTTAAAATAACGGAAGTATTGTATTTTCTCTATTGGAAGTGAGCTTGTAGGCTGAAATTGTTTTATTTTGATTAAAGTTTACGTAAGTGTGCACATAGATGAAATCATATAAAAAGGAACTGCGATATGAAATAAACAGACATGTGATTTTGTCAGAAGTCATTCATGGATGATATACACTGTCAAATTCCTTACAATGTTTGCTATTTCATATTTTTCCTAGTTCAGTGAAAGTCACAGTGTATGTCACAGTGACTACCTGTATTAAGAGAATACCAGTAAAACATCACTCCTATTAACAATATTTCATGACAAGCGAAATTTTGTTTCTTGTAAATAAATCAGCTTACAGTTCTTTTCACATGCTTGTGGCGACATACACCACCGAGACCAGCAGCAAGACTATCAATTTAATTCATAATGCTATCAGACGAGTTGTTAGAGAACACACCGACTGCATGCAGCCTTACAACGTTTTATCTCACCCGTGCAGTGTATAAAGCGGCAGTGCTAGTGAGTTTTATTAGTGAGAGACAAGAAAATCAGGCACTTTGACTTAAAATGCTTGTTAACAACTCACCAGCTTATTCATATCTTGGATCAAAATTTAAAAAAAGAACAGATGACAGATTTCATGACGTCAGAAGAAATAAACATCCACACATAAAAATGTAATAAAACATAGATACATTAGTATAGTAGTAAAAACACAGATACTGTAATATAAATAAGAAGAAAGAATTTGTATGACATGCAAATTTAACAGAATGGCAATTAACAGAAACATAAGACAGCATTGGATCAAAATTAATAATATCACTCTGGATAAATCAGATAGTGTAAAAATAGTTACTGGTATTGTGTGTATGTATCGGTACATACATTTCATGGTGGTTCTGGTAATTTCTACATTACTATGTTATATTAATGTACATGTAAATCTACCTGAATAATTAGAACTTACTAAGTATATAAATATTTGTTTTTATTTATGCACATTCATGTGTACAATGAAGTCAAAACAGACAAATTTCTGGTCTTAATTTCGTGTGACTGCAGCATGAGCATTGTCTCCAAAAAAAATGAAAAAAAAATCTTGATTTAACTTTAGCCACATTCTAATGAAATCATCAAATGGATGAGACCACCAGTGGTTGAACCCACAAGTATAACAGATCTAGTGTCTATATAAAAGTAACCCTAGCTGGTACATGTGATATACAATAAAATCTATAAGGGGATATTTTTAATTTGTCAAAAAATACATATTAATATTGTTATTCAGATGACCTGCTACAATGTTTTTCTGTGAATAATAGAATATAGAATAATGTCTGGTTAATTATTAATACAGGTATATTATCTAATGCAAATGGGGTAACAAATAAGCAGGGTTTATGCTAGGACAAATTATTAAAAAGTTATTGAAATTAGCAAAATTAGAATATTAGAAGAATAATTGAAGATTCTAGAGCGATTAATTTATTATAATATAGTTTGTACTGAATGACCTTCTGATATCGTTGTAGTTGAGAGAATACATTAAAAAATAATGTTATGTTTATTTGGTTAATGTGTTATATAATAAAAAAAACGGCGAATCAAACTTTGTAACACTAACATAAGCGTAAGTATTTACAAGAGGTTTAATGTTACTGTTAGAAAATTGCAGTCGAGTTGGTTTAGTAAGGGAGGTGTAGAGAGAGGTGTTGGCTTTTGTAATAACAGTGTTTAGTAATACGTTTTACACAACATTGAAATGAGTGAATGTATATGCAATGGTGGTGATTGTATGACACATTTCCAATGTTGCAAACATAATATATCAAAGCTAGTTCTGTGTATTTGATTGTGAATTTACAAACATAATTCATTGAGTGACAACGCAACGAAAAATAGGAAAATTGTGATGAAAACAAACAACAGTTTTTGACCAGTTATTATTTCGCATTTTAACAAATAATGTTGAGATCGGCGCAACCCAAATAGGCACGAACACTTTGTGATTTAAACTACTTACTTCGATGTTATGATTGTGTCGGAAACAGCACCAAAAACCAAAGGTAGATAACAAAAACAACAAAACGACCGCTGGAATTTCACGTCCCTGCCTGTATTATTTTAACTGTTGTCGTACGTCATTTCCGGTAATCCATTTGAGGAGAGATACAACGAACATCCTCGATTAAAAATGGCGAACATAAACAGAGTAACTTCGCCGATGAACCTTTATGAAGAGGATTTATTAAAAACCAGAGAAGAATTAGACTTGATCAAGAGCGATTTATTGCGAAAACAGAATGAAAGTCCCGGTATCCTTTTGTTAAATCACAGTTAACAATTTTGTGTTTTTATTTTGCTCAGACAGTTGACAGTCGAGTAAAAATAGACCGATGTCACCGTCTTGGTTGCTAGGTTCTCTACAACGCTAAAATATTGTAATAACACGTGGTTGTGTCAGGTTATTGGAGAAGTTGGTTTTATTTTCAAAAATACAATACATAAATTTAAATTTTTATAGTCATGATTTTATTTACCACTAGTGACTGATTTACCCAGTACTATATGTGCACATCATAAAATTAATACCATTCATATGTATTGCTACCTCCATGTCGCAACTAACATGATCAATAAGCTTTTGAATTTATTTAATTCTAAGTTCCTTTTTCATGGAATTCACAGTTGAATTGTAACAAAGGTCACTGTATGTGGCTAATAGAAACATAATTGATAGAAAAGCTACAACAAATCGCATTATATATGTGTATTTATCAATACAATCTTGGATTTACTAGATGAAAATCGTTTTCCGTGTCACGGCGTGAGGTCCTGCCTAGGATTGAGAAGAGACCATAATTTGCAAGAGGAAAGAGATTTCAATGAATTAGAAAACATCATAAAATAGAAATCCTTGTTTAAAAAAAATAAATGTAAAATTGTGCTGTTGATTCAAGTTAAAGGGTAGTGGTTCTGTTCGATATGGGACTCGTAACAATTACCATATACAACACATGTAAAATACATTGTTTATTTACACGAAATTTGAACATGAGCTGCGTGACAACCCCCACCCTTTAATTACCATATCCAGAATCAGTGAAAACATTTATTGTTAATATTGATCCTTCCATTTTTTATAATAATAACTTTATTACACTATTATGCCATCAGAGGGCGCAGTATGGTAAATAAAATACAAATCATAACAAAATACAGTAGCTAAACTATAAGATAAAATTAAAAGATGTCAAAAGCTTAATAGGAAACAAATTTAATGATAGTCACAGGATTCTCCCAATGTAGAGGTGATAGCTTTCATATACCTGATTTCTGTTATGCCTTATTTAGAAACTTTGCCAGGGGTATGAAGCAGATCATTATAGTAGTCATTCAAGGCAGTCATACATGTAATAAGTGTATGACTAAATTGTTCATGTTTTAAATGTACTGTTTTTTTTTTATTTTATTTTTTGGTGGTTAGCAATTGTTTATTCAAAAATTTTAGAGAAACTAAAGCCTACCATATTTGCTCTTTTAAAAGTACATTTCCAGTAGAAGTGTATACATTAACCAAATATTTATAGTGTACTGGATATTGTGACCACAGATACGCACCTGTCATTTAAACGTTTCACCATCGGACTTCTCACCCAAATTTGTCTGCTCCATTTTTTTTATATTCTTCAATATTTTTGGAAATGAACCCTAATTTTGGAGCTAACAGACAAAATTTGAGTAAATTTTCCATATTTACTCAAAAAAATTTGGCTATTTTTGTCCCAATCTTTTGAAGGAAAGTGCATACTATAAACAGGACTATTTTGTGAATTTGTGATGAAAAGAGGGAACTGGTGGTGAAAAGGTTAAAGTACTATCATAGTGCAAATATGGTATGTTTGCTGTGTTGTCAAAATGATCACCTTACTGTTTGCACATGTAGTTTGCTGTTATAGTATCACCTCCTCTTCATTGAAGATGCCATTAAATCCTTTCTAACACCTCTACTTTCTGTGACACCTCTCGTAACCTTGTTGTTGTTGATCCACTAACACCATTGAAACAGAATACATCTACATAGGAAATTTCTGTTTTGAAATGTGTGTTTACCTGAAAGGCCCTTGACCCATTATGTAACAGCATTTCTGATTGGCTCGATTGATAGAGTCAATGAGAAAATAGCTCACTTAGATCAGCAGTTGCAAAGCTACACAGAACTTGTCATAGAAAGTAGAGCTTCCAATTTTGATGATGATTATGGAACAGCGATGGATGTGCAGCCACCGTACAGAGAAAAGGGTTATCAAAAAGGTATTAAAACATGTACTGTATTCTTTATTCATTACTGTCCACGCCATATAGTTTCAGACAGCAAAACGGCAAACATGAGTATGGTTGTTACAATTCCTATGTACAACACAAATTCTTCAAAATAAATGAACAGGCTATTTTTCCTGAATTGTTTGTTACTGCACATTTATAAGTGTAGTGCAAACTATTATAACTTTACTGGTAAAGTAAAAGTGAGTAAAAGTGGGTTACTTTCCATAAAAACATAAATTAAAGAATACACTCATTTTGATTTGACTTAAAAAATTTTTGAATAATTATAAATATAAATTCAAATTTGAATGAAAGGTTGTGATGCTCTTTTTTACTGTCCTGTTTGTGACTTGAAACAAATCAACCTGTGAAATGAATTAACTTTAAGAGAAATCTACCTGGGATGAATGTACCGGTAATCTGGGATGAATCAACTGTTTCCCTTTTGAGCAAAACTAATTTGCTGATTAATCAATGCTCAGATCATTTGAAAATTACCTTCATCTGCACCAGTGATGTCCATTTCCAAGCTGCTGTGGTTGAGTAGACAATTTTCAACCACCATTTTGAGTTTCAAAAGGCTCTTTAAAAACTTATAAATAATCATACAACAACATTCATGAGAGTACCAATAGTTATCAGTTTCTTGCCTAAAGTTAGTTACAGTTATTGCCTATACAAAATGTTAAACGTTATTGTTTTTACTTTATAGAAAAAGAAATCAGAGAATTGAATCAGTTCGCTGGACTCTACTCTATTAAAGCTAGTAAGTTATTTTTTTTAGTAAGTTAGTTAGTAGTCTTTTTTCAGAATCAATGTTGATTTTGTTTAGTTCATTATCTATGGAATGTATTATACAAATCTTTGTTTACTGGTAGCAAGTCTATGTGGTGTTTCCTTCCCTATACCTCATTCCACTATTGCCTATCTGGGATGCTAGTAAAATCTTTCCCCATTCAGGTTTATGCAAACATGACACTTAATGGGATGTCATAGACTTCTATTTGCATTCCATTTCTATATTGTTGGGAAGTACTGCCAATTATTTTGAGAATTATTCGAAGGTGAAAGACTGTTGATTAATTACTTTGATTTGCTTGGCGCTGCATGTCACACCTGATTCGCTTGGAGGCGACAGGCTGTCTATTACTTTGATTTGCTTGGAGGAGATGAACTGCAGATTACATCGATTTGCTTAGAGGCAACAGACTGCTGATTTCTTTTATATTCTTTGAGGTGACATACTGTTGATTACTTTGATTTGCTCGATGGTGACGAACTTTTGATTATTTTGAAAATTGCTTGGAGGCAGTGGACTGCCAATCATTTTTGAGAGTTGCTTGAAGGCAACGAAATGCCGATTATTCAGATAATTGTCCGAATGTAACAAACTGCCAGTTGTTACTTGGTGGGTAGAGTTTGTCTATTGTGTAGTGAAACTTTTGTGATAGCTCAGTGATAGCTTCCTTGTATTATTCAGGCCAGACTTTTATTATCCCTTGTTTCGCGAACCCACCGAATGAACAGATGCCGAAAATGAAATAAAAATAAAATTTTATTTCAGCGTAATTTCTCATGCCCACCGACTTGTAAGTGCAAAAAATTGCTAAAAAAAACTTATTTATATCTTCGTTTTTTTTTTTCGCTCGCCGCATAACAAACCCAAGTTTTTGTGGGAGTATCATGATCAAAGTACTGAAGTCTCATGCAGATGAGAAACATGGTTATACATGGAATAAATTTTTATTTCATTTCTTCTTTCAGATCAATGATCTCACTTACAATTCTTTGAGAATCACACAAATCTAATGGAAAAAAAATTAATTTTATTTTTTTCCCGCCCTCCTCAAAAAAATTGTCTGAAACAAGGAATAAAAAAGTCTGGACTTAGCAAGTCAAAAACACTGCAAAACATGTTTAAAACAGAAAACAGTGTGTAGAGCTGTGTACATTGTCAGATAAGCAAGAGTTTTCTAAATGACAAAAATGTTCAATTGCGGAAAGGTGAATTATTATCGCTTGTATAGGGCTTGAACTTCTGGCTTGAAAAGGCACCCAGCTAGTTTCCAAGGCAATGTTGAATAAATTTGTTGTTAGCAATAACATAGACAATATTTGTAATGTTTGAAGACAACTCTTAGGGCATCTATAGTGTGAAGCCCTTTGATGCATCTGTGAAGTTCAAGTCCTGCTGGTATTTTTACCTGCCTAAAAGATGGTGGTTTTCATCTGTGAAAATGATGTATTTGTAAGTATTTACATATTTATTTATTTTTTACAGCTTTGTTGCCTCAGGTCAATACTAAAGTCAAGCAGCTTACGAAGATTCCTTTGCCTGCCAGCAGAAAGGTTTGTAGGTTAACTTTTACTTAATTGTTTTACTGGGATCCTTCTTGATATTATCCACACTATGGGGAATAAATTCAGAAACATGTAAAACACTTTTGTGACAGTTTTCTCAATTTATTCCACCTTACCTGTTTACACTGAAATGAAAATTAAAACGCAATGGATATTAGATAAAGTAATGCATTATAGAATCCACATGTTCTCAGACATGTTATTCCTTTGCTTTATTTCCTATGTTGGCAGTTACTATGAGTTCACAATTATTTGTCAGTATTTTTTACTGTTATTAAAGCTGCACAATTCGTTTTTGCGAGTTTCACCATTCGTACAGATATGAGGGCCTTTGCCCCAATATCTTACGCTGTGTGGCCTAGATCGGTATGGACAGAAATCACTTTCCCTTTTTGGTGGATGCCGGTGGATGAGCGAAAGACATGCTGTGGTGCTAGGCGATTTAGTGCTGTACGCGAGTGTCTGTTCAAGTCATTCATACAGTACACGTTAATTTGATTCAACATAGCATTTACTGTGCCATGTTTTCAGTTTTAGTTCCTTGCTGTCAGAGGTGCCTGGTTTAAATAGCGCCCTCTATAGCTAAGAAATGTACACTGCAATGATGCAAGAGGTACACCACCTATTTAGCGTGTTGTATGAGTTTTGATACAAGAGTAATGTAGCTTTATACTTCATTTAAATTTGTGTCACTACCAAGATTAATAATAATGTTACTAAATATTAAAAATAAAATAATGGTTTTACTTATGGTATGCAATTATGATAATGCATCTTGGGATACATATGAATGACTATTTGTTTCATGGTGCGGTTGAAGTTGGCTGAATGACGACCGTTTTTGTGCTAAAAACAAAATCAAGTATTTCAGCCACTCCAGAACCAATCTTGGTTGTGTATGGATGGTTTTCATTCAAATTAGGCACCGGGTACATACATTGGACATTATGGAACCTTAATGACTTGCCTTGACTGATTACTATTCAACTTACAACTACATATCCTGTCCTACATATTACTATTGAACAACTGGACTGGAACAATTGCATAACTGTTAAATACCAAGTCTCAGAATACGGGTAGTTATCTAACATGCCATAAAAAGAGAATCACTGAAACATATTTTAACAGAAAAGTCATAAAAGTATCAATCCCTCTCTCTGGTCATATGGCTCAAAATTTAGCTCCATGGATCTTGATTTTTGAATATTCTTGGTGCTTCTTTCAGGCTCTTCCCTGATATTCCCTTATGTCGTTCCTGTGGGTCTCACTTGCTTCTTTTTAGCTGCTGTGAAGTCCTGGATAATTCAGGCTGTTTTGTCTGATGGTGTGGCTGAAGTAGTTCATTTTCATTTTCTTTATTTGCTTCATCAGCATTTGCTTCGTTCTGAGTAAAAGTTTCCACAACAATCAGTATTTGTTTTTTCTAGAAAATGTTAATAATTAATATGGTAATCTATTTACTACATATCTTTAATTTGTTGTAGACTCAGCAGTCAAAGGAGATGAGTGCCATTAAACCAAAGTTAGTAGAGGTAAGTTTTCACCACCAAAAAATTGTTTTCAATTTCCCCTGATTAATCTATACCTTAATATAAAACTGTCAATGTTTTACTTGTTGGGTTCAGTAACTCTAGGAAGCAAATTGTCTTTCATGCAATGTGATGAGTGAGAAAAAAAGTCACATTCTCAGGATTTCTATAATTTCTGCTGACAGGCCATAATGTAGAGTGTGTATACTTTATTAAGGTGCTTTCTTTGAGAATTACATTGCTCTGTTTTGTCAACTCCTACAGCTTTACCAGTATCCAGGATTTGAACCAACTGACTTAACACCTCTACCGGACGTGGACGCATTGACCATACTGAAAAAAATAGCCTCAGCCAAAAAAGATTTAGACAGAAAGCCATTTTATAAAGCTGAATTCAAAAGACTATTTTATTCTAGGATGTCAGAAGCGATCCTTGTGGTGAGTAACTCTGTAATTTACCACTAGAGGGGGTACTTTACTTCTCAGTATTATAACTGTGAGGGCAGTGTTGTCTTTCACTGATTGGAATAGTATTACTGAGTATTTATCAATTTAATATATTTTAGAATAAAAGCTGACATTAAAAATTGGAGACTGAAATCCAATTATACTGAGTAGAAGGTTCATTACCTCATTGCCGTATAAACTTCATTTAGTTCATTGCATTATAAATCTTTATTGACTACTACTTTTCATGGCCCCCGGGTTTTCAAGTACCTGCCAGTGCTGAGTACATGCACTTTACTGCTAAGGGCCACTCCAAGGTCGTGTTCCATCAATAAAGTGTTATCATTTATACCTTCCGAAGCGAGAATGAACATACACATTTTTGTTTTTAGGTGTGATGATTTATTCGTTAGTTTCTAGGTGCAGGGTTGCACTTTGCGGGTTTTACTCTTGAAGATACTAATTGTCTGTGTTTAGTTTAGTGTCCTCCCAGGGGAACCTTTGAACATGCCGATGGCGATATTGTCATGCATGCTTTTTTCAACATTGAGGTTATTTATATTCTAAATCGTATCTTTTGTGGTCACAATTATCACCAAATCTGATGTGGATTATCTTCCATTAACATACAAACTGTCTCTTTTCCTCACCATCATCATCACCACAGTGATTACTCATATACTCATGTACCCATGCTGACACATATATCAGCGATGCTATTTCATGTAAAAATCTGTATTAACTTTATAATTATTTCAATATTAATAACAGACTTTTTTGTTAACCTGTTCTTTTCGGAAAAAAACTATCAAATAGTATGAAAAAAATAAGAATTTGACAAAATTAAACCCCTATAAAAAGGTATATTGTCTTTCAATTCTACTAAAATGATGTCAATTGATGTTATACTTGTTAGAGATATTTCCTTGCAGTAGCAAACAATAATAAAATGCCTTAAAACTTTCAATATTGGACCTCTATTTTATCTGTTTTTTTGTTTTTGTTTTTTTCATAAATTTTACTTTTTTCATTCTTGTAACATAAAATGTGACAAAGAAAATTAGATCATTTCTTACTCTCATGTGTGACACACAATGAGTCATTTCAGTTACCCTGTGTGCATGCATGTACTGTATACTACCCGTATACATCAATGCCCTCAGCTCACAGTAGTTCTCTCTAAGCTCTATTAAATTACGGTACTTTTGAGTAGCGTAAATGTATCTCCTAAAATCCCCAAAGTACTAGTATATCTATGTATCATAAGACTCTAATCACCAGAAAATTTGTTTTGAAAATTACCATATCTGTAAATAAAAAAAAGAGCATCTATAGTCACATGTTAATAATGAAGCATACTGTATAAAAATACTTTTTGGGTGTTTTGTACGGCGTTTATTTTCTCTGATTTTTGATGAGTAGAATGTAAAATATAGGGAAAAAAAGTATATAGATTTTATTTTCACTGAATCATCCTTTTAACGAAAACAAATTCCAAGCTAAAATAAGGTATTTTACAGTACTATAATACTATTAGAACAAATATAGTCTTCTTCCATCTTTAATATATATTATGTCTCCTGGGCATCTTCAGCTTTATTTAATGGTTGATGTTGGTATTTGGGTTGCTGATCAATGAAAAATTAACTTACTGACTGAAGAATTATAATTAAATAATATTATGAAATAAAATTAATAAAAGCATACCATATGTTTTTGCTTCTACATGTACTTACTTATACATTATTTATTCTGGGTCACTTGTTCAGCATGAAGCCAGTCTGTCGCAAGGTTTAGTCAATAAAATTAAAATATGCCATGATAATATAAATCCTAATGAAATACACAATTTGAGTACAACTTGAATCTTAAAATCTATTCATTAAATATTTCACAAAAAAATTTATAAAAATGATTTTAGAAAATTAGATTAAAAAAAGTGAATATAAGTTATCGTAGAGAAGGTAATTTAACAATATAATATCTGCAACATTTATTAGATTTCCCGCAAATAACATTTGAAGTAATCTATTTATAGCAATACCATGCAATTTATAGATATTTATATGTTACATATACCTAAATATAGTGGTCAAATTGGATTACTGCAGTGAATCCGCTGAGCTGGTAAGTCCTAGATACTGGTGAAATAATTTAATAATTTTTAGAGGAGATTAGAACATAAATTGGCTTTTTTGTTACATGCAAGTAAAACAATCCATATGACTAAGTTAAGTTTGATCATTACATTTTCATGAAAGTCCAATTTTTGAGATAAACTTGATATTATTTTTCTCTGATTTAAGGATAATACATGGGACTCTTATACAGGAAAAGTAAAACCCAACCTGTTCAATTATTAAAAATAACTCCTGTGTACAATGTACAAAGAAAAAAATAATAAGTAGTTCTGTAGTAAAACATGGGCGATGTCAGATGTTTTTCATGTGAGTAACCCTTCATGTCCACTTCAAACTCACCCACGTTCATCAACCTTCATCGATCAACATGAAGAGAGTCATAGAGGTATCTTAGCACTGTTAAAAACTGCATCTGACTGTACCTCTGAGTCTTATTACAATTCTGTCTATACGCTATACTAAGATTAGGTAATCTATTCCTGTCATGTTCGCATGCCCCCATTAGCATATAAAAGCTAGTATAGTGCTGCCCTGACTCAAATTTGTTATTATTCTAGGACACATATTGGTGGATATTCTTACAGCACTATCATCCTAGTAAGAAATCACAGTCCAAATTATTCAACCGCATAGCTCACAACTACGTCAAATTATTACTATATGCCAAAGAACCACAATACCGAGACGTCTTCTTCAAGGTACGTTAATTTTTATGGTTATTACTACATCGTAATCTTTTTATGACTGCAGAAGGAAATGGCTCGCAAGAACTATGTGATTATTACCGTCTTGAGATGAATATAAGTCATATAAGCATAAAAGGTTGCCGCATGAATTCTCTTACTTTTATGTGCCGCTAAACTTCTTGAGTTTAATGAATAATAAAAATTTGATACTTTGAAACAAAATCAAATTCACAGTTATGTTAGTTTTCATCTCCCATACAACTAGCTCCATTTATTTTCTAACTTTTTTCCATAATTTTTTACAATGAAAAATTGGAACTTAATTTAAGATCATCATTATTATGATTGTGTTCGATGAAATTTATTGGTTTCATTTAAACTGCATTTTAGTTTAATATGAGAATGTATTATCACAGGTTCTATTTATTTCAGTAGAAATGCATTTGCTAAATTAATCCATTTACAGGATTGTGTTGTACTATACTCTGAATCTGGTAATGTTGCTAAAAAGTCTAATATCACTTTACACGTGTGCTACTAAGTACCGTAAAATCTGTATTAGAAGCCGCATCCCCAATAGAAATTGCACACATTCTTTTTGAACAATTGAGAACCCAAAATTCTTCATTTCTCATATGTGTTGAAGCTGTAATAGAAGCCCCATCTCCTCTGTTGCATTGGACCATTTTAATAGAAGCCGCCGCTTCTAATACAGATTTTACAGTAAGTATGTATCGGTATACCATTTTCTCGGTAGTAAAAATAATTGTTTTTTTCAAGAGCATGAATTAAAAGGATTAAACTGGAAATTTTTGTTTTGTGTGTGAAATAAAAGCTTAAGAACTGTTTTTGCCCAATTTAATAAACAGTGATTCGTTTTTTTTGTTGGGATGAAAAAAGATACAGATAGACGTAACATTGACCATAATATTATCTACACAATTGGCACATGGCAATTATATATAGTAGCAATGGACTTCCATTTATTCAACAACATGACCTCAAAGTTATTCATGCTGAGTGAAGCTTTCTAATTCTATCTGTGTTGACTGAGAAAATGTTACGATCTATAGGCCTGTAGTTATGCTTCTCTCTTGAGTAAAAAGTATAAGTTCAGGTTTTGTTGAAATAGTCGCTGGTACAATATGTTGTGATTTCCATTGGGATAACTGGAGATGTACTTGGAGAATTCCTGACATATGACACATACATCAAGTGATGTCATATTTTGCAGTATTATTTATAATGCCGCAAATTACAATTTTTTTTTTGAATTCTATGAATTACCAGTACGGTAATAAGACAGTGTTCTCCCCAGGCCTATGAAGCGACACGGTACCGTGACGCTTGGTCACTCGCCCGTGATGCTTATTGCGGTTGAATAAATGCACAAATTAATTAATAGAGTAAATTAATAAATGAAATAATTAATTTTATGGTAATTGATAAACCAAATGTTATTGTTGTTTTTTTGAGCCAAAAAAACGGTTTATTTCACAACTGTACTTTTAATGGGCAAATTACAATCCAAATTATACAAAAACTGGAACGAAAACGTGGAAAATCTGTTGTTTTAATGATCCAAACTGTACACGACCATGTATTTCAAATGGCGTTGACACAGTCAGTCCCAAATGTTATTGTTACAAATGTTATTTTGGACTGATTGGAAATTTCTCATTGTCTTGATCAAATTTGCTGATTAAAATTATATAAAAAGAAAGTGCTCTTTTGATTTGGAGCAAGAAAGAGAAAGTACAGACAATGGGTTTAATAATTAATTACTATACTTGTATGATAATAATTAATGTTCAAAGTGAAATGATTTACACCATGAGCAATTCACCAAAATCATAAATTTAAGCAGCCTTGTTGAACAAAAATTGAAAAACTAAGGTTTTTGACCACTAGGGGGCGCTAAACATACCCAGGAGGCGCTCACAGCAATCATTTTAAAACTTTAAGACCTCAGTGTAGATATTAGTATTAAACTGTACTGCAGTTATCCCTAAATACAGACTTGGATGGAAATCCTTGAAAATATGCCTTTTGCATTTAAATTTATATTAAAAATCAATTTTGAAGTGCCAAAATAATACCATTTGCTTGAATTGAAATAAAGTAATAGAACTGTAATTTAGTGCATCGTTTGGAGAACATTCACGGATTTCTCAAGCAGTATTTTTTATTTTCTCTTAAATTTGAAATATTACTTCAGAAAATGTGATTAAAAAAGCAATTCCATGTTTAGTCAAATTTGAGTTTCTGGGTTCATACAATTACATCAACTGACCATAAGAATTACTTTCTTTATTACCTTTGTAGAATTATCCAGATTTGCTATCACAAGCTATTTACAGTAGCTTTTGCGAAGCCTTCCCAACATCATGGCGTCAGTTTGATGATAATTTTCGGTCTGATATTTGCACCGTGACCTCGCAGTGGATTGACGGTACTAATCCTGTACCACGCTCCTGGATGGCGTGGAATTACAAAGCAATTGAGCCTCAGGGGATGAGAAAAGCCGAAGTTATAACTAACAAATCCAAGAAAGGTAAGTGTATTACAATAAGTACAATTGTAAAACTCTTCCGCTTTCCTGCATTTTCCAATCAAAAGTCCTGGTAATTTGTGTTAATATTTGTTGACACCAATCCTTGCATCAATTTAATATGATTTCAAAAACTTGCTTCACATATTGTAATTTTTTTTACAATGACTGCTGATCACAATCTCATGAAAATCAGTCATCAGATACTGTATCATCAAATTATTGTAAACCCCATGCATATTAATTAGTCTAATTTGCATACTTATTTATAGCATTTCATCAATATATGACTTGAGTGAACATAGTACAAGATTAGGTTACTTTTTTAATTACCTGATTCCGCTGATAGGTTAATTAGTTACTTAATTAACTGTCTGTCTGCATAATGCCCACGCTTATTGAATACATCACGTCTGTTTGATTCAGTGGGAATCGCACAACTTTCAACCTTCCAGTGTTTACACATGTATCGTTCAACAGTACAATCTTGTTTTTGCTGGAAGGGCTTGCGAAAATGTACAGAAGAGTATAATCGGCTATAATACCAGTGAAGTTATGTCTACCATGCTGTGTATTGAGTTTCCAGAAAATGAAATATGACCCATAGTACATTTTATACAAATATTTTCTTCTTTGCTGCGCTTTTCTTGTGATGCATTGAGTGAATATGCTACAAAGTCGTATATGTTATGAATTTGATGGTTTCAATGTTACTGAAAAAATGTGTCGTTTTCATACAAGTTCATAGTCTCATTTGCACTTTGTGTACATTTCTCACAACAAATACAATTACAAGATTAGTGTCTATGTGTAATAAAAGCCCCTGTATGACAATTCTTTCTGAAGAGTACAAGGTACGAAAGTACAAGGGCAATTTCTGACTCAAAACTGACTGTTTTTTTGTATGGCAAATTACATACTTTTGAAAACATTTAGTGATTCCTGTCAACATTTCTGCATGAAATTTGAAATGAGAAAGGGGATCCCTGTTTTCAAAATAATTATGCTATAAAAGTTTTAGAACTTAAATACACAATGGATGGATGCAATACACGTATGCGTGAGCATTGACCTTTCAAAATTTGTAGTCAATTTTCTCATAAAATTTGCATACTGAAATTGCGGCAGGTCAACTCTAATATGCCAGATCTGCATAGTGATCAACTTATAAATATTCATGATCTAACTTGAAACATCATATCGCACAAAAGCTAATGAGCAACATCATGTTCAAGGTAGCATGTCTATGACATCACCAGTCAGTGTGTGTGCTCTGAGTTTGAACTTAGACTTTGTGGTTTCTCCCTAACACAGTAAAACTCGGTCTATGTTTCCTCTTTGATGCCACATACATGTACTTGACCTGTATAAAGTTATAGGTCAGTTTATGAGAACATGTGCATATAAAAGTCCTAAGAAAATCTTTAGTAAAAAAAAGACAATTTATGAGAACAGAGAGATTTGGCATGAGAAATGAGTCAAACTCCAACAGAATATTTTGGTATACTGGTATATACTGGTATAAGTCCTGCAATTAGGCATTCTATTTGGTCAAGAAGCATTTCAGTGGGTTTTAAAGGAGTGATTTTGTCTCTACTGTTACAATGAGAGCAACTCGACAGATGTTCTAGGTTTCAACTTGGGCTCGCTATATCGGGGCCAAATGAGTCTACTATGTTTGTATTTGTATCCACCAATTCACCAAGAACCGCCTTGTGCTTGTGTTCACTGAAACTAGAACTGCATATGTATTGAGGAGATGAAATTACACTATAGAAATTCCTTATATTCTTTTGGCTAGAATAAAAACAGTTTTCCTTCCACGTAGTGTTGCTTCCTTTTTGAATTTTAAAAAGTGCCAGACGTTGACTTTTAATTAAAAAATTTAATATTTTTTTATTATAAAAGAAGGTTATCGAAACCTCGGCGTAATTACATGTACTGTGTCAATAAAACAGGTTTTCTTAGCATCCAGTTCTAAAGGTGGCTATATATTAAAATTATGTCACAAAGTGTATTTTCCCATGTTCAAAGAATTCTACTGAATGCCACTTTTAATATCCATATCTCACATTTTGTTCCAATTTTTTTTAATTTACGAGAGTCGACAGGAAATTAATTTTTTCAGGTGTTTCCTATTTTCATAAGCAATATGCTTGTAGTTATTGCTGTGTCTCTATCACTTTTCGTGTTTCATTACACACGCTTGGATAGCTGCACAACCACATTAGTTCATAAGTTTATTGTATGTGTTCATGATTTTAGTATTAATAACTGGAAATCCAGATAATAGCTTGTTAGTTGAGCTTTGCTGTCAAATTGATGACATCCGCTCAATTTTAAAATTAAAAATTTCTGACGAAAACAAAAATTGAGTCAGTACAATCACTATTTTAATTATTTTCAGATGAAAAGTTGAGTGGAAAATAAAACAACTCGTTGAGATTCATTATTTTGCCTCTACTTTTCCCATCTTCTTTTGACTAAACAATTATGTTACATCAACAGTGGTGAGTCACTGATTCAAAGTAGCTGACTGGAAGCCATTTTTACCTTGCCCGTACCATCAAAGATGGAAGGGAAAGGTATATTAAGGGAAAAATTTTGTCCGTTGTCGTTGTTGTTGTCGTCGTCGTCATTAATAATTGTTATTGTGTGCATAATAACTTTACTAATTCTATTCCAAACTTTATCAAACTTGGTCACCTTATTCATCAGTATAAAGTCTTCCCTGAGTTTGAACAACAGATGTCCTGTATGAAAATATCATGCAAAAATTGAGAAAATCTGATAAAATATTTTGACTGTTTCTACTTGACTGATCACTGGTGATACACATCAAAGGTCACTGATCTCAGTGGAAATATGCATTGTTGTATGTGTTCAATGAAAGCAAATGA